AATTTGGGAGTTTGAGACTTACAAATGCTAGCTGCTATATATAAAAACAGATTTTTAAAAGTTTCTTCTATATAGCACAGGGAATTATGTTCAGTATCTTATAATAAACTTTAATGAAAAAATATGGAAGCAAATATATGTACGCATGTGCATGACTGGGGCACTGTGCGTATACCAGAAATGGACACAATGTCATTGACTGTACTTCAATTAAAAAAAAAAAAAGGTAAGCCAACCTGCATGACCATTGCTGAGGGGCTGTTGAAGGGCTGTTGAAGGCATGTGCAGGAGGCATGATGGCTCCTCCCAGCAATGAGCTCAGCTCTACCAAGCAAGGAAGTGACTCGCCCTCGCCCTCTCTCCCTCCGTGTCGCACCCTGCACCAAAGACAGAACAGCTAGTGAGCGATCACCCTAACTGGCCAGTCAGCACCCACGGTTAGAGCGTTACAAAGCTGTGAAAACAACAGGCGCTCACACTATGTGCCAGACGTTGTCCTAAGTCTGCATGCATCCATTCACCTTGCCCTACAGTAGGCCTGGGAAATTCGAGCAAGACAAAGCTCAGGGGAGTTAATCATTTGCCCAGGGTTTCACCGCGAGGGAGCAGAGCTGGGGTTAGAACGCAGGTAGCCTAGGCAGAGGTCCTGCTCCTCATCACCATCCCGTCCTGCCCCAGGAAGGAGGGCTGGGTGCCCATCGGGAACAGGCAGCTCAGAATTTGCAAGAAACTGGAGTAAATAATTGCAATAGAGGGGAAGCAAGAAAGACTGTGGACCACGCACACTTCGCAACATACAGGTTCACATAAACGTGTATGCGGCAAAGCTAAGGGTAGATAAGTTGCGTTCTCTCCTTTCCAAGGGCCATGTTCAGTCTCACCATTTTAAAGAAAATTTTCATGAAGTCCTTATTAAAGGATCTTCTGGTAAAGATGAAAAAAATAAAACTATCACAGAATATTGCTCGCTTAATATGAATGAAATCAGCAAACAATAGTAAGAATAATCAAAAAGATGATCAGTAATAATTATGACAGTAACAAGAATGAATGAAAGAACAACTTCATGCCACGATCTTCAAAACGCTTCATCAAGAAAACAGAAGTTTTGGAGCAGTCAGACTCCTAACCTCCAGCCACGCCCCAGCGGTGGTCCTGGCGAGTCCACAGAAGCCTGTGTATCCTCCGTAATCAGTCAGGAGATGAGCGGATGGAGGTGGGGCGCTCATTTCCTCCGCTGACTGTGAGGCTGGGCACGTGGGCTGCCGTGTGGAACGGAAGAGAGAACAAGTGCTGACACCTCTGACGGGGACAAAGCCTCATGTCACCACTTTGAACTGGGAGCAGCCTGAAGGCAGAAGGAATCCATCCCACGTAGTGAGTGGAGCCTGACACAGAGCAATTCAACAGTCTCAAGGAAGAAAACAGAGTCTGGTTGTTCTGGAACTGCGCTCACCCCACCTGCCAGCTCACCTGGCCTCGGGCTGCAGAGAAGTAGCTGGAACACAAAAATTCCATCCCTCACACTGTGGCTTGGGAGGCAAACAAACCGGTCTGGAAACAGAATAAGGGAAAACTCAGCCATACTCTATCAGAACAAGTAGGCGTAAGAACAAAACAGAAAGAAAACGTACAGCAACAATGCAAACCGGCTGTGAGGGTCAAAGAGAAAAAGGAAGAAACGTGGAATGGAAAACAGAAATGAGGGACACTCTCTGGAAGAAAACACCCGAAGGAACAGGAGGAAACACTGCACAGATGCTTCATGGCCGAGAATGTAGTTAGAACATGATGTCAGCAAAGCGGGAATCCGAAGACAAAATGATTTTCTCAAAGAATGAGGCACATGGGAAGACTGCAGAGCAAAGAAGGCAAATTGAGAACAAATAATATTCATGCAGAATTAGTCGTTTAGAGCCATCCAAGGATAAAGTAGATGGAGCCGAAAACTGATTTACTAACCTGGAAGAAAGTCTTGACAGAATTAGAGTCAAAAACAGATAAATAAGACCACGAGATTAAAGCATGTAGACAGAGAGCAGGCAAGTCAGGAGGGCAAAGTCATTCAATATTAAGATCATCGATGTGCCCGCAGTACAGAAATCAACAAACACTAAAAGAAAAAACACAGACATATTAGAGGAAAAAATTCCAGAATTCAGAAGGAAAAACTGAATCTGCAGAAAGTGCTTATCCTCTTCCAGGAAGAGTGGGTACAGAGAATACAATCCCAGGGCATCTTTGCATCTTACTCAACTTCAGTAATATGGGCAGATAAAGAGCAAGCCCTGTACAAGAGGAAAAATCAAGGTGACTTCAGACTTTTTCACTTTTCCAAACATCAGGAAGAAAATGGAGCAATGCTCATATAGGTTCAAAGAGAAAGAACTATAGCTACAGGATGCTCCTTCGTGTACTCAGCATAAAGGCAACAGGACCACCATTCTGTATGAATGTTTAGTTCCCCTTTAGGGTGAAATAAATCAGAAATCATAGCACTCCTGAGCTCATCTCGAATAATGATGTGATAATAAAAATCTTGCCAGTGAAGGCAAAACAGAGAACGTAGGAATGAGGAACTCTGGTAAGCAAACTTGTGGGCACAGAGTCCACTTAATTTTAGAGTCTAGACTCAGTAGCCTGGGTGTGAGTGTTCCAGAATGGAGGATAAATTAGTACATGGTGGTGAAGTTAAAGTAGAGACATAATTAACAAAAATCAACAAGGTTGGGGACCTTGGGTAGGATATACCACTGCTTCTGTTTCTTTGTCCTTCTTATCAAGAGACACTCCATACTGCCCAAAATTAAAACATGAAGTTAAAAAAAAATACTGACTTCTGCCTCCGTCAATGCTTTTTTCTTAACCTTAGGGGGCTCTTATGAGGACAAATATTTATGGTGAAGAATTAAACTCTAGCAAATACTTCAGTTTAAAATTGCTTTTTCTTCCATTTCATTCAGGAAAGTTTAATTTAAAAACTGTTATTTAAATAGCAAATACATTATAATTCTATTTATGACAGTATCTCTGTCTGTCTATCTTTCTGGGTACAGACTAGAGAGCTGTCTGGAATGCTATGCATTTTCTGTTGACAGTGGTTATTTTTAGGCATTAAGATTTGGGGTGATTTATTTTACTTCCTTCTTCCTACTTCAGCACTGTTTGAATTACTTATAATGAGCTGGTACAGTTTTTAAAATGCAGTCATTCTTTTAAAAATGAAGAACTCACACCAGCATTGTTATATAAAGATACTTTTTCCAGGGTAAACAGAGAGGAACACCAGGTAAGCAGAATCCTTTACTAACGCCAGCATCCCAAGACTTCTTTCTGTCCAGATGTGCTCTGCCTTCTAGGATGGCTGAGCACAGAACCCTCTCAGGGTCATAAAAAGGAGAAGTCCTTCATAAGAAAATGGGAAGTGAATTAAAAACAGTAAGTAGCTACAATGCATTGACTGTTGTTATGAACCAGACATCGTTCTAAAGACTGTACATTGACATTCTAATTTAATTATGACCATAATCCTAATCCTGATTAAGTTATGACCATACATTGATATTCTAATTTAAGTATGATCATCATCTTGTTAAGCAGGCACTGTTTTATAACTCTCAATAGTCTGCACAAGGAGCCTGTGGCTCGGAGAGGGTAAGTGACCTGCCCAGGGCCACCTCAGAGGTGATTCCAAACCTGAGTTCTTAACCACTGTGCATCCGTTTTTCTAAAAGGTGACCAGGGCTCTAGAAGTCCGTGGGTGTGACCCGCCTGTGATTCCTGAAGGCTGTTAGTTCCACACAAACGGTCAGGTGGCATACCTAACATTGGAGCGAGGTTGTGTCTGCTCACAAAAGTATCTCTCAGTAGGACGATATCCAGATGTTACTATCAAAACCTGGCTCCCCTGCCCCACTCTCCTCTCCCTTTAGAATGCATGATGGTCATGGACAAGCACAAGGATAAACAGTGGCTGACAGTCAATCTCAGTGCTGGGGACACAATCGAGAGTGGTGGGGACTGAGGCAAATCTGGAGAATCAAGTGCCATCTAAAGAGTAAAGCTACCACTCAGCTCCAGCTGGTTGAGGTCAGATGGGAACTACATGTCTAAAACTGCCAGATTTTCCAATTTTTCAGGAGAAGCCAGAAATCCAAATGTTCACATAAAAATCCCAATTTTTAAAAGCAGGCAACTAATTTAAAATAACTTGGAAAACTACATGGGCCACACAAACTCATATTTCTAACATCCACTAGTTTGAGATCTCTGTCGCAAGGCAAGTTAACAAAATGAAAAGGCAGCCTACAGTTTGGGAGAAAAATATTTGCAAATCACGTATCAGATAAGAAGTTAATATCCAAAATATATAAGGAATTCACGTAACTCAATAGCAAATAAACAGACAACCAGATTAAAAGAGGGTAATAGGACATTTTCCAAAGAAGACTTACAAGTGGCCAACAGACACATGAAAAGGTGCTCAACATGGAAATGGAAATCAAAACCACAGTGAGGTGTCACCTCACACACCTGTTAGGAGGGCTGTCATCAGGAAGACAAGTGACAAGTGTTGACAAGGATGTGGCAAAAAGGGAAAATGTGTGCCTTGTTGGTGGGAATGTAAATTTGTATAACCATCATGGAAAACAGCAAGGAAGTCTCTCAAAAAAAATAAAACATATACCCACCATATAATCTGGCGATCTCTCTTCCGGGTTTACACCCAGAAGAAATAAAATCAGTATCTCAAAGCAATCCCTGTATTTGCACACTGATTGCACTGCTCTTCACAGTACCTGAGATACGGAAACAACCTACATGTCCATCAACAAACGAATGGATAAAGAACACACACAATGGAGTGTCATTCAGCTTTGAAAAAGAAGAAAGCCTTGCCATTTGCAACCACAGGTATAAACCTGGAGGAGATTATGCTAAATAAAGTCAGACACAGAAAGAAAAGAAGAGAACCTGCATGATCTTACTTACAGGTGGAATCTAAGAAAGTTGAGTACGTGGAAGCAGAAAGCAGAGTAGTAATTTTTGGGGGAGGGAGAAGAAAGGCGGAGATGCTGGTCCAAGGGTACAGAGTTGCAGTTATGAGGGATGAGTAAGTCTAGGGTCTCCTGGTGCGGATGCTTTAGATCAACGTGAGAGTGTCTTGAACATGGGAGAGGTGCTTGACTCAGGAAAAGCACTGAAATTCATTAAAGGGAGAGGCTTTCCATTACAGTCCTGGGAAGGGAGCAAAGTGTCCTTCAGTACGGAAAACAGCTGGCCCTGGCCACACAGAGATGGGGAGGGGAGAGGCTCAGACAGAGATCCAGCAGAAGCCAGCTAGACTTGCGCCTAGCAAAGCTCTCGGCCACTGTGGTTGGAATTCTGAGGATCATGAGAAAACACGAACATTTTATGCATTCCTGCGTTTTCCTTGTTTATTTCCCCAGCCCCTCGCACATTTTCAGCGATGCGCTTTGTGGAAATGTCAGCCTGTCTCAGCTCTGCTCAAGGGAACAATGAACAGAGCTGCTCCTCCTGACTCGGGCCAAGTGTTCAAGGGGGAGCAGTGCCCCCTAGGGGACAGCAAGGTGGGGTACGCAGGAGGGAGTGCTGAGCTAGGGAGGGGGGCTCTCCTTCCTTCAGTGGGCATTTACTGGGCACCAGATGTACAAGTCCAGGTAAGCAGTAGGTAAACAGGAGGATGGAAACACAAGCAAGACCAGGTCACAAAGGACTTAGGACTTTGGGATTTAGAAGAGTTGGTCTGCAGCCTTTATATTTTCTCTGGAACTTCCCGTTGACTCAAGTCATCAAAATGAAAGGACGTGAAAGTCCAAAAAACACACCTGGAAACAGAGGAATACAAATCTTAATATTTTATTTTCTAATAGAGAAATTCCTTAGAGATGTCACCGGAAGAGGTGGGCAGGACTCATTCATCTGGCTGCTTTTCCTTGCGAACGGGATCATTAAGGCATCCAAATTAACTGGGTGTAATCATGAATTAAATCAAGCTCATTTATAAGGGAAACATGGAGGCATCCTTCATCTTAATATCCGGACACGATTCTCCTGACTTGAAGGTACAATTCGGAGGAATATGGGGACGAAAAAAAAATACCTCTGTAGCTTAACCCTGAGTGGAATTGGTAATAGAACACACCATTTCCCTAGTGAGCTCCCTGCCCTTCCAGTCCTCCTCAGCCGAGCTCATTATTTTATTTCACTACTTGATAGGTTGAGAAATTGCCGGCAAACTGGTTAATTAGGACTAACGGTGCTTAGTAACTGGGGAGACAATTGCAGTTCGTGAAATTAATGCTGAAATGGTGGGAGCTCATGATTCATCTATTAAAGTGGGTCTAGAAATGAGGTTCCTCTACCTGTTGTGTCTGTCCTGGTGACCAGGGTAACTGAGCGTTTCTCTGGCTGAGTTTGGGGCTGGTGTGGTGGTAAGAAACAGAAATGCAACTGGAGGAAAAAGGGAGGTTCATGGTAAGAACACAAAGGTAACTAATTCTACACGGGACTTCTGGGGACGAATATGAAACTAAGAAAGTGAGGAATCAAGGGCATCTCTCTCTTTGGTCCTTGGTCCTTCTCTGACCCTCTCAATATGACCAGGTAGGTTCTCCTGTCTCTCTTTCCCTGGGTACTGGCTCCATTCCTCTCTCTGCATACACCCATCTTCCGCTGAGTCATGGTGTGGTGAACTACTCAACATCCAGTCATTCTTCTTCCAGATGTTTGGGGAGAACATATGATTTGGTTAAGGTCCCACTGACCAACACTAGGGATGCAACTTGCTGCCGGGCCTTAGAGAATCATCTCAACAGGTTCCCTTGGGTTTTAGAAGTTATTCTGGGAATGGTCTCATGATCCAACCAGGGTCAATAAAATGCAGTGAGGCTCTGCTGGAACATCTTGGAAAGACACTCTCCATCTTTACCATGAGGTTTCAAGACGCGGAGTATGGGTTTTGGAGTTGCTGGAGTCATCGTGCAATGAGCAAGATAAAGCCTATCTTAGAGTAAAGCCAGCATGCGGAGGAGGGCAGAGCTCCACAATAGGAGAGAAATAGACTGTATGACATCATTTGAGCCCCTGCATCAAGCAGCACCTGATGCCCACGTTATCCTGGATTTTACAGTTGCCTGAACCAGTCAATCCCCTTTTTTGTACGTAAGCTAATGTGCTTTTAGTTTTCTGTCACTTGTGGTAGAAGGAATTCCCAAGGAAACGCGTGGCTTTTTAAATCCCCTTTAACTTTGCACTGCAAAGTTCTGACCCTGAATCCGGGTGACCTTCCAGTCCAAACACTCACCAGCATCTGACTACAGTTTCTGTGTGTCTTACCTCATATTCTCAACAAAAGACTCTGATTCAATCATCCCAAGCAAGGAGCGCGGTTCCCGATCCATCCTGATCTAATCAGCCATTAACAGGAGGGGGAGGTCCCATAGTAGAAACACGGACACTCCTCAGCTGGGGCGGTTGGGGCAGAACAATATCAAAGGAGAGTCTAAATCGACTACGGCACATTTCCTGGGTTCACTAAGCCTACGGAAAAGGCAAATGGCAACCCCTCCGAATTCACAAGCATCTACCCTTCTGCTTTGGCTGTGGGAGTCTCGCACTGACCTTCAGGCTCCTATGCCAACACTGACTGCCTGGGCCTCGAGTGAGCCCCCAGGGAGCCCCCACTATGCTAAAGGAAGGAATCTGGTTCGTTAACATGTGTCCTTAGCAAATGTTTGCTGGGCCCTGGCCTCTAGCCTAGGCAATAAAAATAAAAACCAGAAGGCTTGAGAGTCTGTGCCTGCCTTTAGCAGGAACTGGGTGTCCTGGGGCAAGTTATGTAAGATGTCTGAGACTCAGCCTCTTCATCCTGAAAAGACGAGGTGACAATCCTTCCTCTGTTACCCCACAATGAGGCTGGTCTCCTGGAGCACCCTGCTGCCTGCTGCCCCCTTTGCTGTCAGACGATGTGTTCTAAGCACTGTGCCCGGAAGACGGTCAGCAGAAGCAGGCTGCTTCAGCGCACGCGTGGACTGCAGTGGGTTTGCGGACCCTGCCCAGAGCAGACGCTCTCCGTGTGGAGAGAATGTGTGGAGACTCTTCTCTGCCTGCCTTGCCCCTGCATCATGCACCGCAGGACTTGCTCTGGTGCAAAAAGGGTGTGAACACCAAGAGGACCTGGAGGTCACTGGACAGCAGCCTAGTCTCCTCAAGCCACAGTGGGATGGTACCCAGGTGGTTCCTCGAGGGACCTCGGCAGGATGGAGCCCCGGGGCCCACAGCAGTGACCTGCTCATGAGCGCACCCCTTGCTGGCTTTTCTCGCTTTCCTGCCTTACTTTCTCCACTCCCTCGCTTGTGCTTCTTGGGACCACCTCCCAAATAAACCATCCAAATCCTTGTCTCAGAGTCTGTGCTGAAGGAGCAGAAACCAAACCACCACCCTAGACCCAGCTTCTTCTCACAAGCGTCTTGCCTAGAGTCCAGACCCATTTCTTGGAGTTAAATGCCTTCCTGGAATGAAACACATGTTACCAGACTCTTGGGTCTCCTTCTAGAGATATTTTATGCATCCACAAGCCGATGCGTACATGAGAGTCACACGCAGGCAAACTTCCTTCTTTTACACCAAGTCTTTGGAGGCCCGCCGACATCCTTCAACACGTCTCCTTCATTCCCACGCTCCAATTTCCTATGGGTTCACACACCTTCCTCCAGTGACAGAGGGCTATGAATGGGGAAATACCAAGGGAACTCAACCCACACCAGGCAAGGCGAAGGCTTCCTAGAGGAAGTGCCACTGAAGCTGAGACCTGAGAGTTGAGGAGAAGCCAGCCAATCCATGAAAAGGCCTGAAAAAGAGGGTTTGGCTTGCTGGAGGAACTGTCAACGATCTGCTAGAATGTAACCCTGAGGGTGAGGGCAGAATGGTGCCATCTGAGGCTAAGAGATGCCCAGAGCCTTCGAACGCTTTCCCACCCTGGCCTGTTCCCCTCCAATCACATCTCTTACTCTTTAGATGTATCTTTAACATTGCACTTTCTCCCAGATGGGATTTGTGCTTTAAGCTTTTAGGGCTTGTTTACATGCTGATCCCAAAACCAGGAATGCATTTAACTCCAAGGAAGGACTCTGGGCTTTATGCATGATGCCTGGGAAAGAAGCCTGGCCGAGGACAGTGGTTCAGTTTGTGTTCCTCCAGCACAGACCCTGAGACCAGACTTTCCAGCTTGATCATGTTGCCATTTCAAGATTGTATGGTGGAATCACCCAGTGTGTGACCTTTTGAGATTGGCTTCTTTCACTCAGCATAATTCCCTTGAGATCCAGCTAAGTTGTTGAGGGTATCAACAGTCCATTCCTTTTTTATGGTTGCATAGTATTCCACCATGTGGGTGAATCACAGTTTATTTAGCCATTCATGTATTGAGAAACATTTTATTTGTTTCCAGGGTTCGGCTACTACAAATATAGCTATTACAAATTCTGCTATGAAGAGTTGTGTACAGGTTTTGTGAAAACATAAGTTTTTATTTCTTTGGGATAAATACCTGAGTGTAATTGCTGGTCATATAGTAAGTGTAAATTTAGTGGGATTTTTTTAAAGAAGCTACCAAACTGTTTTCCACAGTGGCTGGATAAGTTTAAGTTCCTACCAGCAGTGCTATGAGTAATTCAAGTAATCAACATCCTTCTAGGATTTGCTTTTAGTCATCATTTTCTATTTTAGCTAATTTGATAGGTGTGTAGTGTCAGGTCGTTTTCTTCTTAATTTGGATTTCCTTAAAGCCCAGCGATGCTGACTATCTTTTCACACGCTCATTTACCATCTTGCATACGCTCTTCAGTAAAATATCTCTTCACATCTTTTGCCCATTTTCAAATTACACTGTGATTTTTACTGTTGAGTTTTAATCGTTTTTAATATGTTCTTGATAGTAGCCCTTTGTCACATATATAGGTAACAAATATTTTCTCCCCCCAATTCTTTTTTCCTGAGAATTTTTATAATAAATGGGTGTTGGATTTTGTCAAGTGATTTTTCTGCATCAGTTGATAAGATTCTGTGATTTTTCTTCTTTAACTTATTAACATGATGAATTGTATTGATTTTCAAAATTCAAAACAGACTTCTATCCCTGGACTAAATTAAATTATTAATAAAAAGTAACAAAATAATTATATAGATTGTTGATTTCTATTTATTAAGATTTTATTAAGAGTTTTTTCATCTATCATCATGAAGGAAATTCATCTGTAGGTTTCTATCTTTCTTTCTGTCTTTTTATTTATTTATTAATATTTTTGCCATCTTTAGTTTTAGTAGCAGAGTGACATTGGCTTCGTAAAATGAATTGTAAAATATTCTCTCTTCTATTTTCTGGAAGGTATTTGTGTAGAATTGCTATTAATTCTTCTTTATACATTTAGTAGAATTCTCCAGTGAAGCCCTCGGGGCCTGGAGATTACTTCTTTGGGAGGTTTTAATTTATGAGTTCAGTTTCCTTCATAGTATTAGGACTATTCAAATTATCTACTTCACATCTGGTGGCAATTTGGTTTTTTTGAGGAGTTGGTCCATTTCATCTAATTTGTCAAATGTACGTGTGTACAGTTGTTTGTGGTATTCTCTTAGTATTCTTTTGATGACTGCAGCATCCTAGTGAGCTCCCTTGTTTTGTTTCTGGTAATTCGTAATTTGTGTCTTCCCTCTTTTTCCCTTTGGCATTTTTGCTAAAGGTTTGTCCATTATATGAGTTTTCCAAAGAGCCACCTCTTTGTTTCTGTAGATTTTCTCTACAGTTTTTCTGTTTTTAATTCCATTTCTC